AGCGGTGAAATTGGCGTGGGCCACTGAGAATTTAACACGGCACATAGTTGCCCGCCGGCCGGATCCGGACCAGGCACGGTCAAACCCGTTGACCACGGGTCCCGGCCCAAATCAGATTTCAACCGGGTCGGTCATTGGTCTTGTTTTTGTCGACCTTAACCTGAAGAGTCGGACCAGACCAAGAAAAAACACATTGTTTTAAAAATTTTCTCTTTTTTTCTTATTTGGGCGGGCCTAGGCCAGGGTCGGGCCCAACCCTACCCAGCGGGCCATGAATGAGGCACGACCTAGGTTCGTGCCAATTCAAGGTCGTCAGTCCGCCAGTCGGGTCGTGCCCGTGCCCAACCCGTGTTTTGGCCATGTTTGCTGGGAGGGGTATATTAGTATTAGAGCATCTCCACTATCATATTGTACATTTTGTATTGCATGTCATGGTTAAAGGAAAAAAATTATATCTTCAATGAGTAATGTTAAAGATGGTTTCGTTTAACACTAGTACGTGGCTCGTGCGATGCACGGAGAACAATATTATAATTGTGTATTATAAATTAAATTTATAAATAACGTTAATCATGATTTACTCAATGTTTTAAAAGTTGGACCAAACCGATCCGACCGTATGGACCAAAAACCAAATTATCGACCAGTTCGCTTCGCTTGAATAATATGTTTGTTAGAGAACCGGTCAACACCAATTTGTCACATTGTTAGTATCAATATAATTTTTTTACATAAATTTTGTTACATTTAAAACTATTTTAAATATAAATAGAAGTACATATTTAATAAAAATGGATATGTATAGATTTATCATTTAGTTTAAAGATTGAAAATTTTTAAATTGTTCATATATTTAATTAATATTTTTTAATAAATTTATTATAAAAATTAATATATATATATATATATATATATATATATATATATATATATACTAGTACAACACTCGTGTATTACACGGGTGCTTGTTAATTTTTTTTCTTAAAATCTAAAATTAATGAGAAAAAGTAGTTTGAAAATTTAAATACCTTTTATAAGAATATATATATTATTATATATTTATTATGACACTTTTTATTTGTACAACTTACTTGTGTTATATTATTATAACTTACTTGTGTTATATTATGACACTTTTTATACTACATTACATATAAATATATCAATTGAGAAATAATTTTATTTTTCTAATGAATTTAAATAAATATTATTATTTTATTATTATAAATATAAATATAATTTATTTATTTCATATATACAATATGGATATAATAAATATATTATATTTATATTATATATGTAAAACCGATAAGAAATAAATAAATTATATTTATATATAAATATGAAATATATGTAAAACCGATAAGAAATACAAAAGTTATCAACTTTTAAAATACATATATAATTCAATAGCTTATTGAATGAAACATATCAAAATTCAGGGATATATTAGTTGTTCGCCTATATTTTTAAAGCTCGACCGCAAGTGTACGGCTTCGCTCGTAGTATGTGGCAAGCAAGGTCGTATCCCAAGAGACCAAACAACCAATTAATGAAGTACCAAATTATGATAGTGTCAACTTTATTTAGACGATCGTAATATGAGATTGATTAACTAAACTAAGCAAATAAATCAAAAGATAAGAAAGCAATAACAAGAAAACAACTAGAAAAACACTTAAGAAGAATATATGGGAATGATAGATTCTAAGACTATGGGTTCAATTAACAGTTGGGTTCCTTCAGATATATCACAATTAACTATTTTCTTTATCTACCCTATAAGATGATCACGAAATTAGCCTATCGTCCCTCACGAGATCGATAAAACCGTAGATTAAATCACATATATTAGCGTCTCCACTCAACACATGCAATTCAACTCCAAAAAGAATAAAAGACCCAAGATCCTCACAACTATCTACTAATCTCTCGATTCAAGCAAATAAATTGTGTCAAATATTAAAGATCTTATATTGAACTCATCTCTCGAATTATGAACAATATCATCAAACATGTAAAAGCAATGGCCAGTTGCAATTCATGAAATAAGCACGAAATATTTGAATAGGGTTCAAAAGAAAACGATCAATTATAATAAATCATCCAAAAATCCCAAACTATTAATCTACTACCATGTCCTAGAATCAAAGAAGATTAGCTACTCGTGTTTGAAATCAAATACATAGACATATTCAAAATCAACATGAGAAAACAAGTTCAAAAGATAGAAAGAAAAACTAGTAAGCTTGTCGTCGATCTTCTCTTCTTCCCAATTGCTTCTCTTGCGTGTTCTCTGGCTCTCTTCCTTGCGTAATCACGTTCTAGGGCTCAAGATCAGGTAAATAGGTCTTTTTATATGTCCAAAAGTCCTCTCCTAAGTGAAAAAGGTAAGAAATTAAAAACAGCCCGCGTCGCGACACGACCTGACACGCCCGTGTCACAGGTCGTGTCACGGGTCGTGTCAGGTCTCCGGGGCTTCAAAATCCTCCCAGCTACGTGACATGGTCTCTGACACGGGCATGGAGGTCGTGTCACAGCCCGTGTCAGGTCCCAGCATGCACGTTTTTGTCCGTTTTGCTCGTTTCTTCTATTTTTCTCATCCGTGCATCAATCTATCATCATCCCGGGGCTCTTAGGCACCTACCATGCTCCTCCAATAGCCAAAAGCTCTACAAATATGTGAAAATATCTACAAAACAAGCACGCGTAATACCTTTCCAACAAATATAGAACTAAAGCACAAATATGCAATTTATACACCACAAATGCAACAATTAAGCTCTAGATACTATATGAATATGGTGTAAAATCACACATGAACATTAGTCACTTAGTGCCTTACTATGTAAAATTACAAAGAATTAAAGGGTTATATTAGTAAAAGTGATATTAAAATACCTAAGTTAACTAAATAATATTTATGGAATACCCGAACCTAGATTATTAATTATTAATATATCAATAATATTTATCAAAACCTAATTACGAAGCATGATTCTTTGCCAAATAGGATTCCGAAACACCAGAAGCAGCCACGTAGGCTCAGCGCATTCGGGAATTATATATAGGGAGGATATTTGAAAATATTAATAATAAATTTTGATGCAATCAATAAATCGTTGAATAAATAACTTGTCGGTTTGAAAACGGTCCTCTCTTGAAAACTTTGGATTTACCGTACATTACTAAATTTGTAATTCAATATCGTTTTGTTCGCATAAACATTAATAAAATAACATATAAGTGATAAAAGCATTCTTAATATGATTATTTGTCGTATGAAGTACACTACATTTATTGTAATAAAGTATTTTTTTAATATTAAAAAGTATATTTATCTTAATAATAAATTTGGCTCGTCAAACTGACCCATAATTTGGTCACTCGGCTCAATTTTGTCATTGACCCATATCGGTCACGCGGGACCAACATCAGTTGTGCCATGTTTTTTGACTATTTCAAATATCAACTAATATCGAGCATTTACCCAATCACTCGATTGATCAAATAAAATTTTCTTATTTTCCTTAAATTATATGTAACTTTATGAAATTAAAATACTTTATGATTCATGTAGTAAATGTTTATATCAAATGACAATATATTAAGATTATAAATTATATATATTATATATATATAAAGATAAGTCATTTATTTCTTACTTTATGCATATTTATAAAAATAAAAAGAAACATGTTTGAAAAAAAAAATTAATCGATTGATTTTTCAATTGTCGCGTAATCCAATACCAACATGAGTTACTACATAGTAGAAACATTTTGCATATCAACTATTATGTTTTTAAACATATATAATAGTTTTTTCGCTTATAATATATATATATATATATATATATATATATATATTTATAAAAAGTAATATATCAATAAATTAATTGTGAAAAAATAACATTTACCATTACTCAATTCTTAATTAATTTATTTTTTACTATTAATTTATTTTTTTAATGAGAAATGATAAACACAAACATTTTAAACATCATGATGATTTTATATGTGATTAAAATATTGCAAATATTCAATTTAGGATATTAATGTAAATGAATAATTTCATAGTTTGGGATTTATTATGGAAAGCGTAATGTTGTCGTTCATTTTTTAATATATTTATATTTTTAAACGGATTTATTGATATATAATTATTTTTAAATAATTTAATGGGAATTAGTAATATTTTTAGTGGCCTAGTGTTTGTTGTGTTCCCGAGGATTACTTTATTGGTGTCGGCTCTAGGCGGTGTATTGATTGTCCTCTCATTTTTATTCAGATATTGGCTACTTGTATTCAGTTGTTGGTTGTTTGTATTTAGCTGGTGGCTGCTCCTTTGCACATTTGTGCGTATTTATATAATACCTCTATCGTTTCGAAAATATATATATACACACACATACATACACACACATAAGTTATAAAAATACATGTGATTAGATGTTATCTAGACTAAATTAAATTGGGATGAAATATTAAATCTAATGTAACAAATAACGAAAATTTAACTTTAACAACTAATTAAGATATCCTGGCGCATAATAATAATAATAATAATAATAATAATAATAATAATAATAATAATAATAATAATAATAATAATAATAACAAAATTGATACGTTCCAAAAGAGATACTCCATTTTGTTAGTTGAAGTGGTGTACATAGAGTAAGATAATGTTAGTTTTGAGGTGCC